AGTATTGAGAATACCATGGACTGCTAGGAAAACAAACAGATTTGTCCTTGAAAGGGTTTAAACGGGTGGCTCCCTGGAGGCAAGGATTCTGAGGCTCCATCTAACATACTTTGGACATGTTGTGAGGAGAGACTGGTTCTTGGAGAAGGACATCATGCTTGGGAGGGTGGAGGGACAGCGCAGGAGGGGAAGGCCCTCTATGAGGTGGATTGATTCAGTGACTGGAGTAATTGGGATGGGAGTGTCTGAGACAGTGCGATTGGCACAGAACAGAGCAGAGTTTAGGGCTGTTGTACATAGGGTCGCTATGAGTCGCAAGTGACTCGACAGCACATAACAACAGCAACAACAACATGAAAATGATCAGCTATGAGTCAAACATAACAACAATCAGCCAACCAAATGCTTATTGTATATTTCTCTCTTCACTCACCTTTGCTATTTATTAATTTTTACTCCCCACTGCCTCCTTCTCATCTCCGTTAACCCTCCAATATTGAGTCTGTGTGTAAACTTCCTCTAGCTTTTTATATTGGTCGTTAATGATGGCTTTACCATAGTTGTCCTTTCATGACTGACTGATGTCACTCAACTAAATTTTTCTACACTCCTCCATGTTGTGCAGTATTTATAAATTTCTTCATAATTTTTCTGTGATGCATAATACTCCATTATGTGTCTGTACAGGAAAAAATGGAGCGTTGCTTTTCGTTAAAGTTGACTCTACAGCAGTAAGTTAGGTTTGAGTTTGGACTCATCTAGAATATATTAAGAACTAGAAATCAATAAAATTTTAAAAGTACAGCAGTAAAACCCCTATAATTTCTTTAGCCATTTGTCCATTATTGGACACTTTTTTTGGTTTAACTTTACTATTCTAAATAACACTGCTATAAACATAAGTGTATGTATGTCTTATTTTCTGGGAAATGTACCTAGTAGTAACACTGCTTAATTAAATGGTATTTCTCTTTTTCACTTTCTAAGAAAGGGACAGACTTTCTTCTATGATGGTTTTTCCAATATAGCAATCCCTCTAAACACGTTAAAAAAATAATGCAACCCTCATTGCATACTCCTACGATAAAAATAATGCCCAAAAATATAATACTTTTAGATTATTCTCTCCCCCATAGACTTCAATGCCGTAATCATATTTCATTGCAGAGT